TATATATACACATACACACACACACACACACACACACACACACATATAGACACACAGACAGTTGTGTTCAAAATAACAGCAGTGTGGAGTTACTGAGGTCACTCATTCTGTAAAAAAACATGTCAACAGGTGGAACTGATTTAAGGCCAAAGGCAGCAGATGTTGTCCATGCTGGTTATGGTGCATTTGTCTCAGAATGAAATGGGTCGTTCCAGACATTGTTCAGAAGCACAGCGTAATTTGATTAGCTGATCGGAGAGGGGAAACCATATAAACAAGTGCAGAAAATGATGTCAAATGCTTTCAAATGGCAACCGACACCAGGAAGATGCGGAAGAAAACAGAAAGGACCATTTGAATGGATCAAAGAACAGCCAAAATGGCAAAGACTCAGCCAACGATCAGCTCCAGGGAGATCAAAGAAGGTCTGAAGCAGGGATCTCCAACTCTAGTCCTCATGAGCTACTGTCCTGCAGGTTGTAGATGTTTCCTGACTCACATGAATGGATCATTAACAGACTTGTGTAGAACCTGACAACAAGCTGTTGATGATCCATTCATGTGAGTCAGGAAACATCTAGAATCTGCAGGACAGTAGCTCACAACGACCGCAGTTGGAGATCCCTGGTCTAAAGTTACCTGTGAGTGCTGTAACAATGAGAAGACACCTACGTGAAGCCAAGCTACGGCCAAAAAGCTCCTGCAAAGTCCTACTGGTGCAAAAACGACGTGTGCTGACGAGGCCACAATTTGCCAAAGAACACATCGACTGGCCCAAACAGAAATAGCACAATATTTTGTGGACTGATGGAAGCGAGGTTGGGCTGCAGACAGTTTGTCAGACAAACACTGAATCCAAGCCACAGGACTCTGAAGGACAGTGAAGCATTGTGGCGGCAGCTTCATGACATGGGCTTGTTTCTTATACTATGGTGTCGGCCTATTTATCATCATCAGAATACTTAAAGAGGTCATGCTGCCTTATACCGAAGAGGAAATGCCCTTGAAATGGGTGTTTCAACAAGACGATGACCCAGCCAGCGAGCTGGTTCCAGACCAACAAGATGAAGGTAATGGAGCGGCCAGCCCAGTCCCCGGACCTTAATCCAACAGAAAACATCAAAAATGCAGTTTCTGAGGCAAAACCGAGAAATGCAGAGGAACTGGGGAAGGTTGTCCAATCGTCCTGAGCTGGAACACCTGCTCACAAGAAGTTGGTCGACTCCATGCAAGAACAGCGGTTATACAACTAAATATTAGTTCAGTGATTCACAGGAAGCTAAACCTTCAAGCACTTTTATTTTATACAGTAAATGTTTGTAGAACAAAAATGTAGACACTGCCTAATATCCCTTTTTCACTTTCTGTAAAGTCACAAGTTTGATTAATTTTTCTTCATGTTTTGATTTGGAATGGAAATGATGGAACTGTTTAGAATTTATTTTGTGTGCTTTATTAAATATTTTTCAGACCTTTTAATTAACATTTTTAATATTTTATTTTTAGCATTAAAATTTTTAGATTTTTTTAAATAAATATTTTTCAAGGATTTTAATCTTTTTAAAGACGTTTAATATTTTCAGGCTTTTTTTTTTTATTAACATCTATTAAATATGTTTCACATTTTATTAATAAATAAGACATTTGAATGCATATTTTTAGGGCTTTTTCAGGGATTTTACTGATAATTTTTAGGGATTTTTTCCAACATGAACAATCCTTTCAGAGTATTTCTGTAAAAACTGCAACCAAATCAATTAAACGTCAGAACTCAAATGTGTTTTTCACCACATCTGACAATCAGCTGATTCTGAGGAGCTTTTTATCTGTTCAGTGACAGATTGTGGCTAAAATGAATCATTTAATCTCTAATTTAGTGTCTTGNGTCTTCTTCCCCTTCTTCTTCTCTGATTTGGTTTGTTCCCTCTCCAGGTATTTCTGAAACGACACCTTTATTTATCAATATTGTGTTTTCTGGATGTTTGTTTTAGCAGATTTTCATTTTGTAAATATTGACAGAGTGATCATGGAACTCGATCTTGTTTCTCTGTTGCGTTTTCACCAAATAAAGAAGAACAAGGAGCTACTGTCCTCATGCAGTCATTAATGGAAACAAATCACACATGAAGTCTGGTGCAGAGTGGGCGTGACCTGACCTGCAGCTTGTCGTAGTGGATCTGGCTGCTGCAGTGGGTTTTCTTTGCCGTGTCCTCGTTGGAGTAAAACAGGTAACAGACGCGACAGTAATACCCCATCTTCACGTGTTCAACACCTGAAGCAACGTAATCAGTTGTTAGTTTTACAGTTCAAAGCAGGTTCAACTAAGTCAGGCGTTCCTCTGTTAGCTGGATCGACAAAACCTCGGCCGGAGATGATCAGTGTAACAGGTAACCGTGGCAACCTAGCAGGTTAAAAGGGAGCAACACACCTGGTAAAATGTCCGTTTCTCCGTAAATTTGCCGTCTTTCACAATAAAACCTGACAAAACGTTTTTGCATTTTCAGCAACAGAAACACAAATAAATTCATGTTTTAATGTAAAGTGTCCTAATTAGAGCTAAAACATAATGAATGAATTAATGTCCACAAACTTTTTTGTCCGAAGATTTGTGTCAGATTAAAGAAACCAGAAAATATTCACATTTAAGACGATGCAATCACAGTATTTGTTTTTAAAATAGTGGAGCTGATTTCTCAGCTATTAAAATAGTTACCAATGAACTTTGTATTTGAGAATTAACTCATGGTTCACTGAGTGTCTGACGGCTGTTTGAACATCAGAAGTCTTTGGTTTTTTTTTTAACTCATCGCCTTTGGCTTTAAAACACTGTGATGGAAACGTCTGTTCTGTGACATTTTAGAAACAAAAATCATCACAAATGAAAATAAGTGTTGGTTTTAGTTAGGAAGTCAATTAAAATGTGGATTTAATAGTATTTCCTCCAAAATTCACATTGGACCACAAACAAGCCGCAGTTCGAGTCAGACTAAACTAAAACAAAAGATTAATTTCATGTCAGAAAACAGGTCAAAGCATCCCACAATGTCTCGTTCAGTCCACAGCTAGAACCTACTGATGAAGGGTTTCCTTACCGACGGCGCTGTTGGGGTCGTAGGGGGGCAGTGGCAGAGACGCCGCCTTCGGTTTGTTGTCGGTGGCATTTGGTTCCTTCTGATTGGTCGACACGCCCGCCTCCTCCAGTTGCTCTTCCTGTTTGACCTCCTGCAGCTGAGACGAGACACATTCACTCTCAGCTCACATTGATCTACAACAACTTTAATGAAGCACAGGTTTACCTTCATACTAGTTATTTTTTTTTTTTTTATTAACATCTATTAAATATGTTTCACATTTTATTAATAACATCTGACAATCAGCTGATTCTGAGGAGCTTTTTATCTGTTCAGTGACAGATTGTGGCTAAAATGAATCATTTAATCTCTAATTTAGTGTCTTGTGTCTTTAGTTTGTCAGCCAGAAGAAAGCTGCTGTTCAGATAAAAGCTCATGAATCAACGTTTAACAATCAGAACTCGATGAACTCACGTCTTCGCTGCTCTTCTGCTTCTCGTCACAAACATCTGGAATCTTCTCAGCAGAGTTTTCTTCCATCTTTTCTTCACAGCTCTGCTCATATTCCTCCTTTTTCTCCTCCTTCTTCTTCTTCTCCTCCTCCTCCTCCTCCTTCTCCTTCTTCTTCTCCTCTTCCTCTATTTTCTCCTCGTCCTCCTGTTCAACTTCCTCTCTAGGTTTCTTGGCTGGAGGCTCTTCAGCTTGTTGGGAGGATTTTGGCGGCGGCGAGAGGCTGATGATCCTCTTCGTCGTGGTCGGACGTCGATGGCTGAACGAACAGATAAACTGTCAGTTAATTGTCATAATCACATATGAATAATTTAATGAATAATCATTTATTAACCGATAGTTGTTCCGTCGGTGGTCAGGAACCTTGTTGTGCAGATATTATTAAATGTCTGAAAAATCCTCTGAAATTTTTAATTATTATAAATATTTTTAAACTTTTTTTAAACTTTTTTTTTTTTAAACTACCCCCCGATGAATCGCCACCTTACCGCGGTGGAGGGGTTTGAGTGTCCCTGTGATCCTGGGAGCTATGTTGTCCGGGGCATTAGCCCCTGGTAGGGTCTCCCAAGGCAAATTGGTTCTGGGGGAGGGACCAGACAAAGAGCGATTCACAAGACCCCAATGAAGAACAGAAGAAGGACTGCCGCCACCTCGCCCGGAAAAGG